GGACAGCACAATTAAAAACAGCTGCTTATCATGACACTTATCAGCCATTTACATTGAAGCAGGATTGGGCAAGCTGTCGAACCTACAACCCCTGAAAAAGGGGGCATTTTAAGACCCCCAAAATGCATTGGCAAATAACACAACACACTGAAAAAATTTTAATACATTGACTTTTTGACCTCTTGTGTTTAGCACTCCTACACCTAAACCATATGCAATGAGTAGATATTAATGCCCCAAGTACAATTACAAACAAAATACAAAGAAGAAAGATTTTTCTAAAAAGTAACGCATATTGATAACATTCATTAATCTCTTTAACATGTATCTGGAGCACCTTTAATGCTTGTGAATGTTGGCAGACAAGTAAAGTAGGCACCCAAAGGTGGTACATGAGCTTTAAGCACCTGAAGATCAGCTCCGGTAGTGTTTGGTGTCAAGATCCCAAAAAAAGAGAGATACCCTACCTTAAGGCATTAACCCTTTACCCTGTAATCCTAATAATAACCATCTGTTATATAAGCTTAGCAGCAACATTTACTGCTTCCTCCTAAAATTGTAATGTTACAAATCTTCACATAACTTACATACAAACCATGGAAGACAGGTCTGAAAGAATAAATTCCTAAGGTTTCATGTTATACAGTGAATGCAAACTCTTTCCTCGGCAACCTATGATTTGCTGGCGCTGTGGTATGAGTGTAGTTACTCTCTTGGCTGTCTTCCGGGGGATTGCCTGGTCCTACATACCTTCTGGCTGTAGGCCGGTGCAGTCTGTGTTCTCCACTGTGCATAGCGCTCAAACTGCCTGGAATTTTCCACAGCCTGGAAAGGAAGTCAAAGGAAACAGGGTTTTTCCATTGTTTTTTGGGTAAAGGAGCAGCATTCTGGTTTGGTATGCTGCAGCCATATGACCCTTGGTGGCCATCTTGGATAAGCAGGGTCTATATAAGTGCCTAGTGTAGGGAGAGACCCCACTCACTAGGTTAAGTACTTAGGAAAGGTTCCAGACAAGAAGAGACAGGTTAGGGACTTGCTATCCTATATGGAGACCTCTTCGCTTGGGAGTCGGACCAGCCAGGCCATGCTCCTACCTCTGAGAAAGACACTGTCGACATCTCTCCTCAGCCACACTTGAACTGCACTGAACTGTGAGTGATACCCTAAGCAGTGCTCTCCTTCTATGGTGTTTGTAACTTTGGCATTCTGCTCAATACAAGTTTCAAGTTTATTGCAATTGGAATGTAATCACTGCTGCCGTACCACACTGTACCTTCCCACACTGCGATTGGTCTTGCAGATCATATTCCACACCATGGGTTTCTCCCTAGTGGATAATCTGGCTGCCATTTTCCTTCACTTCTTACTTCTATGTCGAGCAAATATGGAAAAGTAGCTCACCTCCGACTGTGGGTCAGTGGTTTGCCAGGGTGAATAATATACAGGAAATGGAGGACCTCGCAGTGGCCCTTAGAGACAGGACCTCTGAACTGAATAAGAAATGGTTCTATTAAAATGACTTTAAATACTCTTCTAAGTACAATCAATGAGTAGACAGCAGCTCATATATCTCCTCATCTTCTTTGTGTTGGGGATGAGGTGGCGGCGCAGTGGGATGGAACTTTGAGTCTTATCTCAACCTGTATGTAGAAGGTACTGGACCAGGGCCCTTACCCCCTCCCTTTCCTCCCCTTTTCTTTTCCTCCCACCCTTTTTTCTCCTCCTATCTCACTACCCTATCAATGTGCTGAATACCCCTGAACCGCAGACTGCTTTCTCTCTAACAACCCACCTTCCCTCTATCCTATAATTGAATTCTCCTGCCACCTTGGCGAATCCTCTTAGCTATATTCCTTTCTGTTTCTCTGTAAATGAAAGATAAAAAAACTTTGTTGGCAACACAGCACTTAGAAAGCTATAGCTTCCTTAGAAATTAAATATGCACTATGGTACTTAAGACTGTTTTATTCTTGCATCAGCCAGTTTTATTTCATGTTATGTACATACAGTCTTCCTCCTACTTTTTGTGGAGTATGAGACTTGTACAATATTTTTTGACTGGGTGTATGTGATGCAAACCCCTTCCTGCCGACAGTACGCATATATGTGGCCCTACTGATTGACGCAATCCGTAAGGACATTGTTAACTCACAATCCACCTCTCCACCCAGCCTCCCACCCTCCTCCAACCCACCTACCCTCCCCCCCCCGACCTCGAAGCCGCACTACCCCCCACTATACCCAATGCCCCGCACACCATCACCTCCCCAACACTCCACTCCTTCAGCCCAACTACCTCTGAGGAGGTCTCTAAGGTCTTCACTGAAGCCCGCCACCCCACCTGCCCCCTGGACCCTATCCCCTCACAGCTCCTCCAGTCACCCCCCCTCCATCATCCGCTCCCTCACCCACATCTTCAATCTCTCCCTCTCCACAGGCACCTTCCCCTCCCCCCTAAAGCACGCACACATTACCCCCATACTCAAAAAACCCTCCCTTGACCCCACTAACCTAAACAACCTTAGACCCATCTCCTTGTTGCCCTTCACTTCCAAGCTCCTTGAGCGCCTGGTCTACAATCGCCTAAGCACCCACCTCACTGATACCAACCTCCTTGACGCCCTACAGTCTGGCTTCTGCCCCCTACACTCCACCGAAACCGCCCTACTTAAAATCACCAACGACCTGCTAACTGCCAAAGCCAATGGCCACTATTCTATCCTCCTGCTCCTTGACCTCTCCGCGGCCTTCGACACTGTTGACCACCCTCTGCTCCTTGCCAAATTGAACTCCCTTGGCATCAAGGACACTGCTCTCTCCTGGTTCGCCTCCTACCTTTCCCAACGCTCCTTCAGCGTCACCTACAACACTGCCACCTCCCCCTCCCTCCCCCTCTCTGTCGGGGTCCCCCAAGGCTCTGTCCTTGGGCCCCTCCTCTTCTCCATCTATACCTCCTCCCTTGGCAAACATTCACTCCCACGGCTTCAACTACCACCTCTATGCCGACGACACCCAAATTTACCTCTCCACCCCCCACCTCACCCACCCCCTCACTCTCTGCCCGCATCACCCACCTCCTAAATGACATATCAGACTGGATGTCGCTCCATTTCCTCAAACTTAACCTATCCAAAACCGAGCTCCTGGTCTCCCCCCCGTGCCCCCCCCATCCTCTCCATCACTACTAACAACGCCACCATCTCTCCCACCCCACACGCCAAAGTCCTGGGTGTCACCCTGGACTCCCATCTCTCCTTCCTACCCCACATCCAACTGCTATCTAGATCTTGCAGGCTCCACCTCCGCAACATCTCCAAGATACGCACATTCCTCACCCCAGACACCACCAAACAACTCGTACACTCGCTCATCATCTCATGCCTGGACTATTGCAACTCCCTTCTCACTGGCCTACCCAAACGATCGCTATCCCCACTCCAGTCGATCCTACACTCAGCGGCCAGACTCATCCACCTCACTAAGCGCTCCACATCTGCCTCCCCCCTCTGCCAATCCCTTCATTGGCTCACGATTGCCCAACACATCAAGTTCAAGCTGCTAACCCTGACCTACAAGGCCACTCACAATGCCGCCCCGAACTACATAACTGACCTGATACCCAGATACTACCCTACCCGTGCCCTCCGCTCCTCACAGGACCTCCTGCTCTCTAGCTCCCTGGTCTCCTCCTCCCACGCCAGATTGCATCACTTCTCTAGGACCTCCCCCATCCTCTGGAACTCCCTACCCCAATCCATCAGAATGTCACCTACCCTCCTCACCTTCAGGCGCACCCTGAAAACCCTCCTCTTCAGGGAAGCCTACCCCAACCTCACCTAACACCCGACCTCACCTAACAATTAACCTCCTCCACTCCACCCACCACTCCATCCCCCACAGCCATCTCCTCCTGTGCCACCTTCCCCTCCCTCCTAGATTGTAAGCTTGAAAGAGCAGGGCCTTCGAACCCCTCGTGTAGTGTATTGTTACTGTCTTGTCTCATGTTATGTCCCCCCTGCTACTGTACAGCGCTGAGCATACCCTTTGGCGCTATATAAATACTGTATAATAATAATAATACTAAACTGGGCTTTTTTTTTCTGTGCGGCCGCATATTTGCGTACAGCCGCACAGTGCACTCCCAGCACAGAGACCAGGCTCTAATGATCGAGACCCGGTACTCCTGATTCCGGGTCACCTGATTGCTGCAATAGCCTCTGATTGGTTATCACAGTGATCAGTCACTGTTTAGCCCGCCTCTGTGTTTACAATCTCTCTGAATGGTGAGAGAGATACATTGTATTTCGCTCTTTTCAAGGCGAAAGCTATGTAAACAAATGTGTGTTGAAAAAAAAAATAAAAAGAAAAGAAAAAAATAAAGAGAAATTAGCTAGATCAAGGATAGATCTAGGTCAGTGTAAGGGTTAGTGTTAGGGTCAAAGGTCAGGGTCAAGGGTCATGTTCAGTTTTTATTTTATAAATATATTTATGTTTAACCACTAGCCTACAGGGCACTTATACCCCCTTCCTGCCCAGGCCAATTTCCAGCTTTCAGCGCTGTTGCACTTTGAATGACAATTGTGCGGTGAAACAACACTGTACCCATATGAATTTTTAATCATTTTTTTGTGACAAAGCTTTCTTTTGGTGTTATTTAATCACCTCTGGGTTTTTAATTTTTTCTTAAACAAACCAAAAACCACTGAAAATTTTGAAAAAAAAAAAATGTTTTTTCTTAGTTTTTGTTATAAAATGTTGTAAATAAGAAATTTTCTCCTTCACTGATGTGTGCTAATGGGGCTGCAGTGATGGACACTGATAGGCTGCACTGATGGATACTGATATGTGGCACTGATGGGCACTGATGAGGAGGCACTGGTAGGTGGCGCTGATGGAGCATTGACAGGCATCACTGATGGGCACTGAAAGGCAGCACTGATACATGGCACTGATATATAGCACTGATAGGCAGCACTGTTAGGCGGCACTGACTGGCACTGTTAGGCGGCACTGACTGGCACTGTTAGGCAGCACTGACTGGCACTGTTAGGCAGCACTGACAGGCACTGATGCACACTGATAGGCAGCACTGACTGACACTGATAGGCGGTGCTGATTGGCACTGATAGGTGGCACTGATTGGCAGCACTGATAGGTGGCACTGATTGGCATTGATAGATGGCACTGACTAGCACTGATGGGTGACACTGAAAGGCAGCTCGGATGGGCACTGATATGTGGCATTGATGTGCACTGGTGTGCACTGATATGTGGCACTGATGTGGCACTGATGGGCACTGGCACGAGGCACTAACATAAGGCACTGATGGACACTGACAGGTGGCACTGCTGGGGCTACTCTGATCATCAGGGCACACTGATCATCAGTGCCCTGATGATCAGTGTACATGTCCCCTCCGCAGAAAGGCGATTACCAGCTCTCCTCTCCCCACGAGCTGTCAGCGTGACAGCTCGAGAGGAGAGAAATGCCGATAACCGACATTTCCCTGTCTACATGTGATCAGCTGTGTTTGGATACAGCTGATCACATGACCGAGCCGACATCTTCGGCTCTTTCCGTGTGATCCGCTGTGTCCAAGGGACACACAGTGCACCGCCGATCGCCGCGCAAGCGCAGTGAGAATGGGAGGATGTCATATGACGTCCTCCCAGAACGAGAGAACCACCTTGCGCCCATCATATTACTATATGGTGGGCGGGAGGTGGTTAAAAAAAACATTTTTTTTAAATTAGTATCAGTTCCAGTATGTTTTAGGCAGGATAAAAAAAGCAAAATGTTCGCTGTTACCTCTGGGCCTTACTATGGGTACAAATAACATATATGTGGATTCACTGTGATTGTCAGGAGCAGAATAATTTATTTTGGGTTGTTTTTTTGATGCTAGGTTATGGTAGTAGCAAGAAATACACAGCTAATTTAAAAAAAAAAACCTGTTTTGCTCTTTTGGGCTAGTCCGCTTTTGATAATAAAAAAAAAATCAGGAGACCTCTATTGCCATTTGCCACAAAACAAAAGCCCAATTAATCCTGAAAAAAAGGGATAATTCACCTGGATATACAAAGCAGTTGCAATGGTATGGTTTTACTAACACATGTTAAAATTGCAAAATTGTGTTCAGGCATTAACATGTTTACCCTCAGCCACTAAGGGCTTTTTCACACGAACATTCCAATTGGGTCCGCCTGCCGGTTTTGCAGGCGGACCCGATCGGAACCTCCATTCTCCTCTATGGAGCGGTGGGTGTAAACGGACATGTGGACATGTGACCGCCAAAAAGGGATGGATGGAGATACAATTCCCCTTCCGTCTGTTGGATCAACTGAAATCCATTTTCATCCGACAGCCCATTGAGGAGAGTGAGCAGTTCTGTGTCTGCTCTGCAGCAGTGGGGGGTACGCAGAGCTGTCATCCGCTTGCTCAGCGGAGATCAGTGGAGAGATCCCCCGCTGAGCAAGCGGATCCGCTAAACGGGTCCACCTCGTGTGAAGAGCCCTAAGGGTTAACCACATGCCGCCCAGCCACTGTACATATACGGTGGCAGGTCGGCACTCACAGGCAAAACCACGTTTTAAAACATGTGTTTTGTAAACAAATAGGGGGCGCGCGAGAGGTGCGCCACCGCCCTATTTGTCCCGCGGATCACCGCCGCAGATGTCAGTCGCCGGGTCACAGCCGCTCCTTAGCGGCTATGTCCCGGCGATCGGCGGCAATCAGTGACAGACAGCACAGCTGCAGTAGCTGTGCTGTCTTTCACTTCCCTGTCAGCTCGAGGATGAGCTGATCGAGAAAGAAGAGTTTCTCTTTCTCGATCAGCCTTGTCCCGCCCAGTACACACCCCCACCCCCTAGTAAAACACTCCCCTCACTCCTATAACCCTTCCCTGCAAAATAAAGTTCACCCCTTCCTGCCCATTGCCATTAGTACAGTGTCAGTTTTTTTTTTGCACTGATCACTATATTAGTGTTTTTGGGGATGTCAGTGACCCCAAGTCAGTACCCCCAATGTCAGAATGTCTGCCGCAGTCCCGCAGTCCCGCCATAAGTCGCTGGTCGCTGCCATAAGTCCCTGATCGCCGCCATAATTCGCTGATCGCCGCCATTATTAGTATAAAAAAAAACTAAAAATCCCAGTATCTTTCCCGCCATTTGTAAACGCTATAACTTTCACGTAAACCAATTAATTTACACGTATTGGGTTTTTTTTTTTAGCAAAGACATGTCGCAGAATGCATTTTGGCAGAAATTTATGACTAAATTTGATTTTTGCATTTTTTTTTACTGAACATGTTTTATAGCAAAAAGTCCAAAATATTGTTTTTTTTTTTCCTCAAAATTTTCAGCCTTTTTTTTTTTATACCGCAAAAAATAAAAACCGCACAGGCGATCAAATACCACCAAAAGAAAGCTCAATTTGTGGGGAAAAAAAGGATGTAAATTTCATTTATGTACCATATTGCATGACTGCGCAATTGTCCGTTAAACTAGCGCAGCGCTGTATAGCAGAAAAATGGCGTAAATTGCAGTATTTATACCATAGTTTGTAGACACTATAACTTCCACACAAAGCAATCAATATACACTTATTGGGATTTTTTTACCAAAAACATGTAGCAGAATACATTTTGGCCTAAATTTATAACCAACTTTGAGTTTACTATATATTTTTTATAGCTGAAAATAAAAAATATTGTTTTTTTTTCAAAATGTTTGGCCTTTTTTTGTTTATACCGTGAAAAATAAAAAGCGCACAGGTGATCAAATTACATCGAAAGAAAGCTCTATTTGTGTGAAAAAAAGGACGTAAATTTCGTTTAGGTGCAGCATTGCATGACCGCGCAATTATCAGTTGAATTAGTGCAGCGCCGAGTAGCAAAAAGAGGCCTGGTCATTAAGGGGGGTAAATCCTCTGGAGCTCAAGTGGTTAAATAGAGAACAATTTAAAAAAACAAAAAAACTAAACAAAACAATATAAAGCAAATATTTATTTTTAAAAAGTAGTTACACGTTTTTACTATTAAAAAGTGGTCCTTGAGTTCCAGTTCAAAGACGTTTCCTAGTATCACTTGCCCTCCCTTTTAGATTGTAAGCTCTCATGAGAGGGGCCCTCCTAACCCTCTTGCATTAAATTGAATTATAACTGCACTGTCCCTTTTTTCTTTGTAAAGTATTGCACAAACTGTTGGCGCTATAGAACTCTGTATACTAATGATAAGTATAATACAGATCTAACTGCCAAACTAAAAAGAGGTATTTCAGAAGAAATGAGAGACAGAGGACTTTGGTTCCCAATAGGGAAGAGTCCCTCCAAATGAGTGACAGTTTGGCGATACGGCTTGGTATAGCGGCTGCCACCAGGTTTGAGTTAGTGATTCTACTTTCAGCGTGAGGCTAGAAAGGCTTGTTTTTTTTCCTTCAAGGGCATTTCTTAAATCTGCTGTGAAGAAAATTTCCTACCCCTGACTGAAATATGCTGAGATATCCTGTACACTTCTATTCCATTATTTTGACTGGAGAGAGATGACAGCGCAGCAAAGGCCAACAACAGAAGGAAAACATTAATATAAATGATCTCAGTCCTTCCTTCCTGAACAGTTTTCTGTCTCCAGTCCTATATAAATGAGTGACATATTCAGAGCCATCTGCCGTGCATGATATGAAGTGAAATATTTTGTGTGTCTCATGTTGTGAAGTGTCTGCCCACTATGGAATCCCAGCTGGCGTCCTTGTCAATATACATATTTCTCGACCTCGGGAGCATTTTAAATGCAGCTTAACAACATTCCAACACCCTACCAAGGACTGGGACATTTCAAAGGATTTATTTAATAAAGAAGTACAATGAGCTATGTTGATATGAAAAAATATATCGTCAAGCTTTAACGAACCAGATTTTAGTTTACTGTAGAAAAAAAGGGGAAGGGTATTTCTTCCTGTTTATTTAGATTATTGTACACTATCATGATTATCTGTACTGGATTATAGCATAGGATGCCTCATAGGTAGTACACAAAGAGCCGTAATATACAAGGTTTGTAAGTATAAATATCACAGGTGAGGTGTCAGCAGGGGCGGACTGACAACTCATGGGGCCCCCGGGCAATAGGGGATCATGGGGCCCCTGTGTCCTTGCCCAAACTCAAAAAAGCCTATGAAAAAGGTACCAGGGGCATCTCATGGGGCCCCCTACTGACCCCGGGCCCTCGGGCAGTGCCCGAGTTTCCAAATGGTCAGTCCGCCCCTGGGTGTCAGATATATCGATGTCCCACAGGAGGTACCAACCCCAATTAAATTATCAAACAATCTATTCACATTGGGATTTTTACTTTACCTCCCATGATAAACATGTATATAGCACACTCTATGAAATGCAACAATATTTGTTTTATAATTGGTATAAAAACAATTATTTTAAACCACAGTCACATTTTCAAAAATGTTAAAAAGAGCATTTTAGAGCAGGAAGTTCAGTTGCCACTATGTTGAGGTCAATGCTTTGGTCAACACGTTTTGCAGATAATTGCTTCATCAGGACCTCTAAGCTCTCATAAACATTACCGCTGATACAGACTTGAACTGTGGAATAAAACAAGCAAAAAATAAATTACAAAAATGTGCTGCGCTTCACTCAATAGTGCTAATATCAAATGATGAATACATCCATGTGCTTCTATTAATAATAAGTGCCAAAAAATAAATAAACAAACCAATATCAATAACCGTAGTCAAAAGCAATGTCCAAATACATGTAAAAAAAAGTCCATATATACTTCTTCAGAAATACGTGTTCACTTTAAATGAAATAAATATCTAGTGCTTCTTAAATCATCTCCTGTGTGAAATAACTCAAAATTGTGTGCTCTCCCACCGGCTATGCTCTCAGCTCAAAAATATGACCAAACCGTAAAGTGAGGTCATATAACGCTTATGTCACTTTAATTGGACCAAAATGTGGATGGGATGGTATCCTGCTGAATGGAATTCCCCTTCACTCGATCGATAGGCTCTCCTTCCATGGTGGTTTATATAAAGGAATAATCAAATCATAGTATTTTATCCTTTAAAAACATTTTATTAATAAAGGTAATGCAGTTACATGATAACTGAATATAAACCGCTTTGTGCAAAAATTGTATCTTCCTGAGTTTTGGAAGTGGTGAAAATCCTAAAATTACGAGCTGGTGTCAGTATGGAACCATCAAGCGTTGTGACTTCAAAGCTCCTCCCCTAAGCGTTACGCCACCGGTCACATGGCTTCACCAGGGGGAAGAAATCATTTGATACAATAGTATGAGTATGTGTTAGGTGCAGGAAATTCACAATTAGCATTTTGGACATCTTATTACTCATATAGCAGCTTACAAGTCTTTACTTTTATATTAAAAAAAAAACATATTTCTCTCTCTAATTGAATAAGGGTCATTAATATTTTATAAACCGCACAAGAATAATCTTGCTAGATGGATATTGCTCCCTCTAGTGGTAATGTGTGTGGTTTAATCCTCTGTCCATCCCAGTACCATTTTATTAATAAAGGTAATGCAGTTACATGATAACTGAATATAAACCGCTTTGTGCAAAAATTGTATCTTCCTGAGTTTTGGCAGTGGTGAAAATCCTAAAATTACCAGCTGGTGTCAGTATGGAACCATCAAGCGTTGTAAATCAAAGCCCCTCCCCTGCGCGTTACGCCACCGGTCACATGGCTTCATCAGGGGGAAGAAATCATTTGACACACTAGTATGAGTATGTGTTAGGTGCAGGCAATTCACAATTAGCATTTTGGACATCTTATTACTCATATAGCAGCTTACAAGTCTTCACTTTTATATAAAAAAAAACATATTTCTCTTTCTAATTGAATAAGGGTCATTAATATTTTATAAACAGCACAAGAATAATCTTGCTAGATGGATATTGCTCCCTCTAGTGGTAATGTACGTTGTTTTAATCCTCTGTCCATCTCAGTAGCAATTCAGATTTAGTTTTCTATCAAACAAATGAAGATCTTTGATAACTTCAAAGGGATCCAAATTTTGGGAGGGGCAGAAATTCAACCCAAAACATAGGATCGCTAATTCCTACTCTAAAAAATGCAATTAATGTTATGTTAATGACATCAAAACTATGATGCTTGTTTATGTGTTCTGGACATGTTTGCAGCTATTTCCACAGATCAAGTCTGTATCAGCAGTAATGTTTATGAGCTCTTAGAGGTCCTGATGAAGCAGGTATCTGTGAAATGCATTGACCAAAGCACTGACCTAATCACATAATTTTTGAATATGTGACTGTGGTCTAAAATAATTGTTTTTTATACTGATTATACTGTAAAAAAATATTGTTATGTTAAATTATTAAAATCTATATTAAAGGATAAGTTCACCTTTGGGAACATGTTACATGTTCCAACCATTTTTAGGGTCATGTACCTTAAAGAGGAATTAAACCTCTGCCAAAATTGTTTTTATTGGGTCCCAGGAGCTTTTAGTCATAATGTGCTGGTATGCACATCAGACAGACTTACCTGTCAATTGATCCCCTCTAGTGCTGTGCTGCGCTGTCACTGCTCCTGTCGAGCACAGGTGTCTTCTGTCCACAGTATGAAGCTTTGGCTGAATGACTGGCCAGGCCATGGTGACAAAACTCCTGTGCAGAAAGAGTCAAGTTATCTACTATAGTGGGTATATTTTCTATTGGTGCCTACTCTTTATTTGTCAGAAGTGTCAAGGGTCCAAAACAACCTTTTGAACATGGAGGAGCTCATGAAATAACTTTTCCAGTCTCAAGAAACACCTGCCTTTACACGCACATGAACTTTAATGGCATCCCAGTCTTAGTCCTTAGCATTCAATATTGAGTTGGCCCACCCTTTGCAACTATAACAACTTCAACTCTTCTGGGAAGGCTATCCACAAGGTTTAGGAGCGTGTCTCTGGGAATGTTTGACCGTTCTTCCAGAAATGCATTTGTGAGGTCAGGCATTGATGTCAGATGAGAAGGCCCGACTTGCAATCTCTGCTCTAATTCATCCTAAAGGTGTTCTATCGAGTTGAGGTCAAGACTCTGTTCAGGCCTCCACCCCAAACTCACTCACTCATCCATGCCTTTATGGACCTTGCTGATGCCTTAAGAGTTCCCTTCACTGGAACTAAGGTGCCAAGCCCAACCCCTGAAAAACAACACCATAATCCCCCCACTACCAAACTTTATACTTGGCACAATGCAGTCAGGCAAGTACTGTTCTCCTAGCAACTTCCAAACCCAGACAAGTCTATCAATTTGGTAGACAGAGAATCTTGATTGGTCACTCCAGAGAACACGTCTCGACTGCTCTAGAGTCCAGTGGCGGTGTGCTTTACACCACTGCATGTAACACTTTGCATTGCACTCAGTGATGTAAGGCTTGGATGCAGCTGCTCGGCCATGGAAACCCATTCCATGAAGCTTTCTACACACTGTTGTGCTAATCTGAAGGCCATACAAACCTTGGAGGTTTTTAGCTATTGACTCTGATGACAGTAGGTTACATCTGCATTGTGCGCCTCAGCATGCGCTGACCCTGCTCTGTCATTTTACGTGGTTGAGTTGCTGTTGTTCCCAGTTGCTTCCACTTTTATATAATACCACTAAGAGTTGACTGTGGAATATTTAGTAGCCAGGAAATTTCACAGATGGACTTATTGCACAGGTGGCAACCCATCACGGTACCACACTTGAATTCACTGAGCTCCTGAGAGCGACCCATTCTTTCACAAATGTTTGAGGCAGTCTGCATGTCTAGGTGCTTGATTTTATACACCTGTGGCTATGGAGGTGGTTGGAAACACCTGAATCCAATGTTTTGGAGGGGTGTCCTAATACATTTGGCAATATAATGTATCTATAGCTCACTGTATATTAGTGCGATGGTCAATGAGAAAAATACTTCTTGCATTTGTTGTCAGTAGAAAGAATCCCCCCATTAGAAATAGCTAAAAAGATCATTGGTGTCAGTAGAACCTTTTCTGAGAAGCATAAATTACTCATTGCTCAAGGACCTTTAGCATCCTCTGGAGGAACCCTGGTTGAGAAAAGGATTGGATTATATCTCTTATGGACCTATTTACGTCTTATGTTATTGCTATTGTTCTAGATATACTTTAAATAAATCATGTGAGTGTCATCTGATTTGTTTATGGTAATTTGAAGTACTGGTGCATCTTGGGATATGGAAGGGTATTCAAAGGCATCATTATGGTAATTAGAAGCCATTGATCAAATGGTGCCTGTTGGGATATGGAAGAGTGTTTAAAGACGACACTAGTCATTTGAAGTTAGCTCTGATGAAGAGGGCTTGCTCTCAAAGCACGTAAGCCATTTTTGCACTATTGAGGTAGCTCTGATGTTGTTTGTGAGGATTTGTGCCTATTGGTCTGACAGACATTGGTTGTTATGGATTTTAAGAGATAAACATTTACATTGAGTTTTTTGTGGGTAAAAGACATATGTTTGAATACAATTTATGGAGGATTTTACACTATGCTAAGGCACTCTCTGTTCATTTTTTGATAGTAGGAAGGAGGTTCAAATTGGGGGTAAATGTGGAGTTTGCCCTGAACACTAACTGTTTATGCTTTGGTGAATGACCTTCTTCTGCAATAAAGAGCCTACCTGCTCACTTTTTTTGGAGTTTATTTTCTCTTTAATGAGAGACACTATTAAAAGACATGAAAGTTATACCAGTAGAGAAGATTTTTCTACCAATAGTTCACTTCAGGTGTATTGTTAACAGAACTATAGCAGCATTAATTGGGTTTTTTTTCTTCTTTCACAGGAAACAAAATCCAATTAATGCTACTAAAGTTCTGTCAATGATACACCTAAAGTGAACTGTTGGTAGGGATAACTTCTTGGCTAGTATAACTTTCACCAACAGTTCACTTTAGGTGTATAAAAGTAGCAGCATTAATTTTTTTTCTTGTGTCACCCTTTGCAGTCCACTGAGTATTTTAAAACATATTATAGCTGAGGAACAGGATTAGCAGACTAATGTTTGTTTTTTTTACCAAAAGTACTCCAGTCCAAGGCACTACACCAGGGGTATCCAAACTTTCTAAACAAAGGGGCCAACTTACTGCCTTTAAGACTTTAGGGGGGCCAGATTGTGACCATTAGGAGTAAAAAAGGTTCCAACATCAGTGGGCAAAAACAATGCCCCAACTCTAGTGTTAGTGAAAGGAATTGTGCCCAAATGTTGGTGTCAGTGGGAGGAATTGTGCCTCATCTTTGGTATCAGTGGTAGGAATGGTGCCACATTGTTGGTGTCAATGGGAGGATTTGTGCCCCATCAATTGTGTTATTGGGAGAAATTGTGCTCCATCATTGGTGCCACTGGGAGGAATTGTGCCCATTGCTGGTATCAGTGGATGAAATAGTGCCCCAAGGACTGGATAAAAGCAAGCAAAGAGCTGCATCTTGCCCTTGGGCTGCAGTTTGGAGACATTAGTGATGAGCTTGGGTTCAGGCTTAGATTTCACTCTGAACTTGAAAGTTAGTTGTCATTGCAGGACCAATGAGCTGTGGGCAGGAGATTCCTCACACTGTAGCTAAAATACACAAAGGGGTAATAATGCTTGTGACATAATCGACCTAAACCGGGCACATATTAGGTCAAAGTCAGGTGGGCACTCTCTCCCAGGGGCTGGTAGATTCACACCCAGGCTCTTTCTTTGCACGACATAGGTAACTGCTTGAGTGCCTGTGCATATCAATCTGCATGAAATCGGGTTGCTTAAGTTAGCCTAGATAGGTGCTGCCCCAGTTAGGAGGGTTAGGGTTAATGGAGTGGGTTTTTCTTTGGCAGGCTTTCTTGGCCTTGACCCATTGATCCTGTGCCTGTAAAAATGGATAGTGGTCTGGGTCCCAGAGTTCTTTACCACTTAATGACTCTACCTGTACAGGTATACTGAGGCAGCTCACAAGTCTGAGATAGGAACTAGGGATGTTATGGAAGAACTGTGTTGAACCTTGAACTGTGTGATGTTTGAGTTTTCCAGTCAAGCTTTTTGAAACTTTGTCCTTCGCATGGTCTGAAGCAGGGGTGGACTGACAACTCATGGGGCCCCCGGGCAATAGGGGATCATGGGGCCCCTGTGTCCTTGCCAAAACTCAAAAAAGCTTATGAAAAAGGTACCAGGGGCATCTCATGGGACCCCCTACTGACCCCGGGCCCTAGGGCAGTGCCCAGGTTTCCAAATGGTCAGTCTGCCCCTGATCTGAAGTTACCAAAGGAGTGAATGTAAGTAACTGACACACATAGTCTACAGCTGTGGGTCAATAGGCACATGGGAGTATGAAGACAGCACCAAAGAGTCAACCTGGTGTAGAGACAGCAAGTGGTTACCAGCTAAGCAGCCGGTCGTTAAGCGTGTGCATTTGGCAGATCGCAAAGTCACTTGCAGGAGGAGTTGTTGTCTGCACTCTCTCCGTGAGTGGGTCAGTTTCCCATAGCAATGAGAGCAGATCAGCACCACAGCAAGACCCCATTCTGTTACTGGGAGTGGGTAGTGGAGATATGCTGGACAGATGGAGTGGTCATAGGCTCAGTGTGTCTCTCTTAAATGCAACAAGTTACAGTTATGTTGTACAATGATATGGGGGTGAAAGAGAGTTAACTGCAGTTTAGTTTATGGTACAAGTGTACACAGAGTACAGCCATCTCTAAAGTCAGAGTTACGACTTAAGGCTGACTGTTTCCTGATGGCTGCTCCAGCCTAGTCCTGGGGCATTGCTGAATAAGTAAAGGTACCCCATATGCAAGAGAGTGACCCTATTCTAGGTGCCTAGGGTAGCCCAGAAGAACCCACCCTGGTGGTAGGCCTCCTATGTGACCCAATGAGGAAGGGAAGCATGCAGGATGCACCACCCTACCTTTACTACATGCAGACAGTCCTGCTGTGCCCTATCACCCTGCATTACCTTAACAGGTGCCAAAACTTTGTTTTTTTTTTTCCTGGAGGCCAACTGTAGTCTCGGCCACAGGGTTACTCTGCAGATCCCATCACCATTTCTGTACTGTTAAAGTAGAGTGTGTGACTGTAAAATAATATTAAATTATGAGTGCTAAACTTGCTGAGCTGACACTAACTCCTGATGTAGGTGCTAGGGGGGTGCTATCTGTCATGTATTGACCTGCAGTTTTTCTGCCTGTTCTTACCTCCTTGCTGCAGTGCTTCTCCTAGACCTGATTCCCGTTCACATGTGTTATTTGGCTTCTGTGCTCACCTATGGATGTCACCTGGTAATCTGTGTGTTTTTCTTTCCTTTCCCTTCCATCACTTCCTGCCCCATGTCTCAGTTTTTTCCATATATAAGTCATGCTCAGTGCAGCCCGCAGTGCCTGAACAACTGCCCAGTTCTCTGAGCTCCTGTTTGCCTACTATTACGTGTATTCAATATCTGACTTCCTGTGTACCAATCCTGGTTTTGTCTACCATCTGTGCTTGCCTACCACCCACCCTGACCTCAGCTTGTTTCCTGGATTTCCTTTTGTCTCCTGCCATTTATACTCTGCACAAGCGAGTGGTCTTCACTTTCTCAGCTGAGCATACTTGGGGGCATGACCTGGTTTTAGCTTGCTGCAAGTCCATCCCCACCATTGGGCCCTGGTGAAGAACCAGGCTGGGGCTTAGACTCTGGGGCACCCTGGGGAACTCTGAGTTTGTGATCTACAAGGGTTCACTATCACAGACACCTGGCACTATCAGAATCTGCTAATGCTGAGTTTATTGTTTTATCCAACTGGTGAACACCAATGCTAGGGGGGTTATTGTTCTAGCCAGCCACTGACCACCAATGCTGAGGGGAGCTTATTGTTGAAGGCAGCCAAAGACCCCCAATGCTGGGGGGAGGTCTTTGTTGCAGCCAGCCACTGACCACCAATGCTAAGAATGGGGGGGATTCTACAATCATTCACTGATCAACATTATTTCTGACCAAAGTGTTTATTGCCTCAGCAGTTGCTGGTTGCAAAGTAATCAATGACTATTTTACAAATTTCTTATTTAAGGTAGCCTGAAAAGCATAAGTAATGGAAAGGTAATTTCTTTAAGAAAATTATTGTGCTGAGCATTGAACCAACTCTTTTAAAGTTTAATTTAGTCCAACTCCTGAAAACTTCAAAAGGATCCTATGCACTGAAGCTGCACCAACACTGCAAAGATTAAATGCTCATTTAGGTCCAAAGGACATAGAAAAAAAAAAAATCTGCTTACCAAATCCTGCACTGCTAGACTGGTCTCCACAGCATCTTCTCCCCCTTGTTCCAGTGTTCTAATGTTATAACGCCATCAACACCAATGCAAGGTCCATAGCACTGCATTGGACATGATGTTGCCAAGGAACAGTCCACTGCCAGAGCGCAGTGAAGCACCATCTGCTGGAGAAGCGGGAAGATCAGGTAAGTTATTGTGCAAAGACTCTCCCCTGGATTGATGAGCATCTAACCCTTGCAGTGTGGGCACAGCCCCTCTACAAGGGATAATTTTTACATTTCCTGGAGTTGGGCTTTAACCATGCCCCTTTAAGGCCCTCTTACTATTAGCCCAAACTGGCCACACCCACCACCGGGTAGGTATCTGGAGTATGGCATAGCTCTTCATTGTTGCAGTTTCACAAGGAGCCTAACTTGTGATCTCATCCACAGGCCTGAAACCACCTCTGCGAGAACGTGCTGGTAGGTCAACTGGCTGCTTTACAAACTGACACTAGTATCTGCATGCATGTAATATAGGGAGC